CGGGCATGTCGGAGGCCATCGGCTCTCGCGCAGTCTTTTCGTCTTTCGAGGACGACGGATGGCGCGATGCAGGCGACTTTGGCGTCGAGACGCACTGGGGCAGCATCGAGGTGTTTGAATGATATGCACATCGGGATGAGACACGATTATTTTTACGACCATGAAATGACTTTTTCCTATTTCTCTCAAGACCTGGCGGAGCGCAAGCCACAAGCAGCAATGACTCTTTGTTCATAGCTAGTGCCGCGACGGACTCTCGAGCCGTCGAAATGTATAATGTATTCTAGACTTTTCTTCCGGCGGTGCTTTTGTGTCTCTCTAAGTCGTGCCTATCGTCAAAGCCTTTGACCCTCCAAGTCCTTTTGGTACCCCATTACCTGCCTCTCTGCCCACCGCCCATCACCCACTCCACTCCCTACTCTCTCCTCCAAGGGAAGTGAAATCACATCTCCCCGCACAAAGCCACAGTAACATCCATAACAGGGCGATCATTATTCTTCGTCACCCTTACATTCTCTATCTTCCGCACCACATCCATAGATTTGGAGTTCTTGTCATCGGGCAGGACGCGGCCGAAAACGACGTGTTTCCCATCCAGGTGCGGCGTCGCGGCCGTCGTTATGAAGAATTGACATCCGTTCGTGTCCGGGCCGGAGTTCTGCGAGATCTTAGTACATTCCCTCCGCTCTCTGATACGTTTACGGAGAATTCAAGAGAAAAGGGGAGGGGGGAGAGGGGAAGGGAAGGGAAGGGAGATGAGAGCAATGGAGAGCAGGAAGTGAGGAGAAGGGAGAGGCAGACGTACAGCCATAGAAAGCAACCCCGGGCCATTGTGCCGTACGCGAAAGTTCTCGTCGGCAAACTTCCTCGTGCCGTAGATGCACGTACTCCCCGTGCCGTCGCCGTTGATAAAGTCGCCGCCTTGGATCATGAACCCTGGGATCTATTTTACATATCAGCCTCTAACTCTGACTTCACATGATACAATATCAACAAAAGGGAGACTGAGAGGGAGAGGAAAGGTGACAGTGAGGAAAGGGAGAGGAGAAAGAGAGACGTACCACCCTATGCACACGACTGCCCTTGTACCCGACCGCACGTCCGCGCTCGACGTACTCCCCCGTGCACAGTTGGCGGAAGTTCTCCGCTGTGCGAGGCACGACGTCGGCGAAGAGCTCCATCTTGATCCGGCCTAGCGGTTCGTTCGCTAGAGAAATGTCGAAGAAAACGACTGGATTCGTCGGTGAGGTCAGGTCTGGGTGGAGCGGTGCTGAGGGTGGGTGTTGCTGGGTCGTCATCTTCGATGATGGGATGTGGCTGTGTTTGGATGTGGCGGGATATGTGAAGTGAGGTTTTGGAAGCTGGAGAAGTCCAATGGCGGATGTAGGTGCGACAGCGATTGACCTGGCTTCAAGTCGCTGTGACCAAGTTGCGCCTGGTGATGAGGGAATTATTGATCGTAGTCAAAGATGCACGAAGAGCACGTTCAGACGTGGGTATATCAAAGTGTTGTTGTTGATCACGCTGAGTCTTGTCCTTGGCAAGTGAAGTCTTGACCAAACATGCTCAGTCGGTCGGTCTCCACTATCGATTTCACACCGCACATTCACACACAAGAACGCCGAAACTAAATTTGAAAGACACACTCCTCGCATGCATAACAAAAGCACGACATTGAGGCACTGCAGCAACAAGCTGCCTGCAAATATTTACATTTACATGAAACGAAGAGTAAGACGATCGGGCTGCCCCGATCGTGCCAAACTACTTTGCTTCGAAAGGCAACTTCGATAATCATACCAGCAGCATAAAGATGCGAGCAGGACTCGCACTACCGCACAGGCTGCGCTGCTGTGCCTGCCTCCAATTCCGCCGGAGTAAGCTCGCTCTGTGGTACCATTGCTGGGGCCGGGGAGCTACTCTCTCGACTCGATCGAAGTGGGTTGTGTAAGCGCGGTATTTGCAGCACTCTGGACCGCCACGTCGATCCACTGTGCTGATTTCTCCTCTCTTGGGGCGTCTGCTCATCCGTTTGCTCAGTTTGATCCTGTGCTGCTGCAGTTTGACGCGGCTGTTCCACCAAGAAGAACCTGGGACCGGCCAGGACCCGAAACGGCAATCCAGTCCGGCCACCACCTAGATATGCAAAGCCGGGTGCCTGCGGCATGTTGCCCGACTCTCCATTCTCACCTTCCGGCCGCGGTTTGGGTACATAGTAATCAGCCTTGCAAAGGGGGCAGCAGGCTCTCCGGGAAGTCAACCACGGATCGACGCAAGCCGCATGAAAGGCGTGACCACAGCTCAAGCCCCGTACATCGTCGTCATCCTCGAGGTTATCTATGCAGATCGCACAAGTATCGCCTGGCACAGCAAGCATCTCCGGAAGCGTCTGAGCTCGAATTGGATCATCATCGTTCTCCGAGTCATTGTCGTGCTTGTGCGGATGGAAATGATCTTCGCCGACAGGTAAAGAAGAAGCCGCCTTCTCGTCCTCGTTGCGATTGACGCCGCCAGTAGGGACAACGCCATCCGCAGGGGCGCCAGGGCGAGGCAACAAAGAACTTGTGTGCTCGTGTTTGATTTCTGGTGATTTGTGGGCGTGGTCCGCCTGCGCCAGTTCCAGCGTGTTGACAACATCTCCCGCGCCCTCATTTTCTACAGTGTTGTCTTCCGCGACCACCTCAGTCGCAACGCCTTCAACATCTTTTATGCTACCAGCCCTGCTAGCGGGGGCAGTCACGCCACCTTCGGTCGGTAGACCTTGAGCAGCCCTCTGCGATCTCCAAGCTTTGTATTTGGTGAGGGGAAATCTTTCGTTGACTTCGTCCTGGCTCATTAGTTTCTTTTCCCTCCGTCTTCGTTGCGGCCGAGGCATTCCGGCCAGATCTATCGCGTTGCCATCTTCGCCCAAGGCTCGCTGCCTATTGCGCTGGTTGTAGCGGAAGCAGTATTTGACACCAACGATAATCCTGGAAATAGTAAGCACATCGCATAGCACTGCGCCACGGGGCCAAATTTACCAGAGATTCGTGAAGACTACACCAAAGCCGAGCGCAACGAAGAACAGCAGTGGAGAGCTGGTGGGTCCTCCCCCATTGGACGTCGATGAGGCGCTCGGCGACGGCGATGGACTAGTTTGGGACATTGTGATTTGTGAATCCGGGTATCTTCCTTAGACCGCAAGATACCCTCCTCTTATGTTAGAGACGAGCCCGACCACCCGCGGGTTGCGTACGTCGAGCAGGCAGGGGGAGGCGCAAGAGCGGAGGACGCAAGAACGAGATTGCGATAGATCCCCCAGCCAGCGGTTTCGAGTTTCCTATATTGGGCGAAAAGCGTTGACGCAGCGGCGAGGGCAGCGGCAATCCAGCAACGGCCTGCGTGAAGCCAGCGGACGAATGTGAGAGCCGTTGGCGCCCCTTGCGTATGTAGAAGAAGCCGGGCAAGCACGCGGATGCGATATCCAACGTCGAGCGATTGAGGTTCGTCGATTATGAGACTTTGCTGCCACAAGTGAATGTGCAGTCTATTATGGGAAATCTCCAGGACCGGCGAGTTGGGGAGTGGGGAACAGGAAACGCTGCGTTTCAGAAGGCGTCGTAATGTCGGAAGCGGAGGATCGGACGAGAAGGTCCCCAGTGACGGCAGCAGCTGTGACCGTGAAGAAGGAAACGAGAGGTGGGAAGTCGCAAAGCGGAGAGTCCCAAATAGACTAAAGACGGGGGTGGCGACGAGGACAAAATACAAAGGACGAGAGGACTGATTGGTTATAGCGGGAGGGGGGAGAGGGTGGCGGGCAGACGCTTCGGAAGAGGAGGGCGGGCTGAGAGAGAGTTTGGGGAAAGTTGGAAGGAGATGGTGGTGGAGGATGTTTTAGTTGGGCGCTTGCAGCCACATTCTCGAGGGTCTAGACTACTGAGGAGGATATCCAGCTGTAGTTGGTGTACCAAGAAACCTTCAGTTAAATGTGCAGCCCTGAGAGAGACCGACACTACGCCTCTCACTGTTCACCTTTCGCGACGATGTGTAGCTTTGTGCTGAGCCTGAATGGCAGCGTTGTGACACAGATGAGAGTCTCGTCATCACAGACTCCATATCCTGTGTCTGCGCCCGCAAAAAGTGCCAAAACAGAGTTCGGACAAAGGGGAATCCGGCACCAGGTCGGTCGATCCTCTTCGGTAGCTGTGCCGCCCGGGCGTTCACCTTGCTTGTACTATCGTCCATGTACATGTGTACATCCACGCAATCCTGTCGACTGGCGACTGATCGCCGCATTTCTTGCATCCATCTCTCTACTGTTGTCGTCACTTGACTTGTCCACTTCAGGCTGGCGACCCATAGTTGATGACAATCCAAGAAAATGTCATCAGCCTGCAATTGAATAATGTATAGAGACCCTTTCCAGACGTCTTGATTCTGTAATCTGACCAGGCTCCCTCGGTCAACGATGGCCTTCCTTTGTTCCTGGCTTGCAACTTCAGCGTCGGTTCTATTTGCTTGGTTCGTCAACATTGTTTCAATTCGCATCGCCTTTGTCTCCGCAGTCTGCAGTGCTGTTACGAGCTCGTCGTGTCGCTGTAACACCGAACTTCGAGTAAGCAGCCATGTCTGTGGCACTTGTTCTTGGTCACAAATAGTGCCTGTAAACAGTCGTCATGCTACGTGTCACTTTGTTTTCGATCTAGGTCTTCGTATTTGCCGTGCGCAAGCTGCGCAAGCAAGGGCCGCTGGCTTGTCACAAATGCAGATAGCTTCCTGGCATTGGCTTCATTGTTGTCGGGCTGGCAGGTCGAACGCGCCATTGACCTCGTGCACTGGACGCTATCGACTTGTCGCACAGAGAACCTACGGCAACTTCATAGTTCAATTCAACCATTTTGATCCGAGTATAAGCGGTGTGAAACGATTAGGTGTATTCTGAGAGCAAAAGGGCTGAACAGAAGGCCAAAGTTTGAGATCTTAGTATATATATTTTGATGTCATTCGCTACGACAACAATTGGTTGTGTAGTGTAGCGGTTATCACTCCGGATTCTGATCATCCAAAAGTCATAACTTCCGGCAACCCCGGTTCGATTCCGGGCACGACCTCATAGCATTTCTTTTGCGCCGACTCCGATGACACCCCTCAGTCATTCTCGATGAGCAATCCTTTTTTTCCAATTCTCTCACTTTCACGCTGATTTCATCTATGAGAATGTTGTGGATGCCAGCAAGACACTTTCGGACCGATTCGTGCGGTTCATCAAACAGTAGTTCAGATCGCTTCTCAAGAAGATCTTCCAATGTGGCATTGCTGCTATATAGCTCGCGCAACCGCTTGACGGCTCGAATGTGAGCCAGTGATCAAGGGTATCCTTTAGCGCATTGTCACGAGCCTCTGTCACCGCGCCTAGCAACGGGTAGACGTCCCGCTTGTCGGTACGAAGTAGATCATAAGCATGATTGTCGATAATCGGGCAAGGGTCAATCGCTTGACGAAGCTCCGCCAGTGTCTGTATGTTCAAGGAGGCCATGTTATTGTGTACCTCCGCTTTTCAACATATCGACACTTTAGTTGCGGTGTCTTCTTGTGGCCATAGCTGTGACTTAAGGCCGACCAAGCGGGAAAGTTGGAAATTGGGGGAGATTTGGTCCTCCCAATCTTACACAAGCCACCATCATTCATACCTCATAAAACTCTTGCAGGCTAGCACTTTTGCTGTCCGGCGCAACACATCAGGAAAACATTTCCCGTATCATCCTTGGCGCATCATATGAGAGATCGCAACCTGGATTCAGGCGTCTCGTTGCCGACGCATTAAGCAGAAATAGAAAGTTAATCCAAGCACACCACAGGGCAGTGACTCATTTTACTTGAGTAATTTAAGCGCTGCGCCTCCACCAAGATTCATTTAAGAAGACCCCGAGTTGGCAGCACTTAAGCTTGTCAAGTTGATCAAGAGTCCTACAACCTCGAATCCTCTCGTGAACCATCAACGCAATGCTCAATCGCGATGCTGCTCCCGACAAATATTCAATCCCCCTGCTACCAGATGACATTTTGCTCCAGATATTCGGTTATTTCCTACCGGATTCCCATGAGAAGGACGTGCCCGCCTCTGAGCATTTCTCCAAGACTTTGAAAGAGGACCGGCAGGTATTGATCAATGTCCGACTAGCCTGCCGCACATTCAACGAGGTCGCCACGCCACTTCTCTTCCGAAAGCTATCGGTCTCGTTGAGCGAAAACTCCGTGCATCGATTTCAGAGCCTCCTAGCAGGGAATGCTCTGATTCGCGACAGTTTGCGGGGAGTAGAATTCAATTTGCGCTTCCACTCTCGACTGCTCGCCGCAGACATCAGGAGTTTCCATCGAGGTCAAGCCGGGCCGCTGCTCTCAAGCGCGGTCAGCGAATGCGATTACCACACGGAGGTTTGCCCACTACGATCCTGATGATGAGTCTGAGGAGGCGGTGGAGACTCGTGCCTATCATAGTGCCTGGTCAAAGGTGGGAGCTATCGCACATAATTGGAGAAAGTACGTAAAGAAGCAGAGTCGACTCGAAGCGCAGAAGAGAGCGCAGTCGCTGGCGTCAAAGGAAGCACATATTCTCTCGGGCGATGCCGAGTCAACCCATGTCGAACCTGATAATAATGCAGCCGACAATGTCGACGAAGACAACGAAATGAAATACTGGCCCGACAGCGACGGCGACGATGACTACAACCAACACACCAGCATACTCATCGAAGGATATCAATCATATGTAGCAAAGCACGTCGAAGAGCTCCGCATCATTCAGAATCAGTCTTTCGCCCGTACAGTGGCGACCGCACTGTCCGGCTGCACCACTCCCATCTCTTTTTGGTTCAACGATGGGAAAGCGCTCTGGAACCGCCGCGAGATGGGCGCATTGAAGCTCGCGCACGATATGGACCTCATCCGGTCGTGCATCTCCGCGCCTAAGGGATGGGGCAAGATTGAGAGCTTGCAGGGCAGTGATGCTGAAGAGGACTTGCTTATGCCCGCACGACTTCTTGCGGATATTCCAATCGCCTGCCACGAAGCCGGAGTGCGGATCAAAACTTTGCATGTCTGTTGTTTTCCTCTAGTCTATGGCTTTCAGTCCCTGGTACCATCTCACGCACGGGGTAAGGAGAACAAGGAGCAAGCGAACCCGTGGACTCGATTAGCTACGGCCTGTCGTGAGCTGATCGACTTCGACTTCAATGCAAGCAACTGCATGCCGGTGCGCCACCAACGTCTACCCGAGAAGGATTATACCATCATGATCGGATACATAAGTGCAGCATGCTCATCCGCACAGCTCCAATTCTGCAAATTGTCGTTCCGGGTTTACGGAATCAACGACGGCAAATCGACATGGTGGTCGGGTGACAGGACGCAGGCTCCAAGGACCGAAACTTACTATCTGGGAGCGCCAATCCTGAACAGTCTCGTCTCGAAAGATTTGCGCAGTCTCACGATCATGTACGTCGAAGTCGATGGTGCCACTCTTCTGAACGCCCTTGCCGGCCTTCACGCTTCGCAGCTTCAATTTCTGTATCTATGCAGCATCGTCCTCACGCAGGGGCGGTGGCTCGATATCACCAACCAGCTGCACGATCTACTATGTTCGCGGCCGGACAATGGTAAGAAACCGCGAATCTCGATGAGCAGTCTACGAGGGATGGAGTTTGGGGCGGCCGTGGCCTTTGAAGAGAGAGACCCGTGGTTTAGTGGGGATGCAGAAGAGTGGGATAGGTTCTTCGAGAAGCTCGAGACACATCAGCATCCGGCGCTTCAGAAGGATGTTGAGGAGTGGATAACCAAGGATAGGGGACAGGAACCGAATCCGCTGGCTTTGATGTGGGAGACGCAGGTGGAGCGTGGAGGATGAGATATAGACGCCCTCGAAGAATTGTACACGGTCATCAGTGGCGATGTCTCTGCACTCGGGTCCGAGCTGGAACAATATCATGTAGATAAAAATGGTTGGCTCGTCGGAGCCGCCTCGTTCTGTACATACCACAATATATATCAACGACGCATAGCTCTATCCTGTGAGACGATCCTGCAACGCACGCTTGCTGGTAAGTATGGTCTGGTAAAGCCCAAATGTAAGATTGCAGAGTCACAATGACTACAGGAGCGAAGATAATGGATGCGGAAGCAACGGTGACCAATGCAGGCCATTCGCAAATTCTTCCCTCAAAGCGGAGCTCTGATGCATTCGTTTTGTCCGCGGTGACCGTTTTGGGGCTTGGGGCTTGTTCAGGCTGATCTGCGGAATTCGGGCCCAGTGATCCTCATTTTCCCACGAGTTCACCGCCTCACACTAACCATCCGCATCGCATTTGTTACCGCCACTCCGATAAGCTTTCGGGATTAATCATTTGGCTTTCCGAGATCCACGACAAGTGCAATCTCGCGCCCTTTGTTCATACTTTCGCGTCGTGCGCCGATGAGCTCGACGAGATCCACATGTTTGAATATGTCTGACAGGTGGTCAGCACTGTTTGCCACATCAGTTATCCACCTTCCGTTATGGTCACTAGCGGCGGGGCGTGTTCATGCTTAGAAATCCGGAGTTCCAGGCATCCATCCCTCGACTGGATGAGCTTGGTCTGCAAGGAGTGGATGACAGGACAAAGTCCCACCATTGCTCGTATCTCCAAGGGGAAGGCGTACTGCACGTCTCGTTTAACAATGCGGAGTTCCTGTTGCTGCGGGCATGACTCACTCTGTCTAGCGGTGGATAGGCTTTCGTCGTCGACGTTCCGTTGACTTTGGCGGCTCGATGATCTCCCACCCGGCATGCCGCGCAAACCATTACCGCCACATGGCTTGGAACAGGGGGCCCGATGGTGCGGATACTCCGTTAAAATAACCCCCATGCGGGGTATGAGAGACCACTATCCATGCGCACCACCCGGCTCAACATCCGCGTCTGACTCCTGCTGCCTGCGTCTCACACTAGCCATCGGGGAATTTTCCACCGTCCTTCGGCGTCCCGTCTCGGAGCCCTCACTCGTCCTACGATCGTCATCTCTGGTCCATGGTCACCGACATCTTCCCGACACAATGTGAGAAATCTGACTCCCGCTTTTGCCATCCCCCGTTCCTTTTCAGTCGACTTATCCTCAGGTGAATAAGGCATCGTCATTTTGGAGCCAGAAACTTTTGTATCTTAGAGACACTCTCTTCCCAATGCACGCTCACCTTTTCTTTCACTCGCCACTGACACACGATGGAAAAGGAATGGCTCGCCGGGGAGGAACAAGTCCTTGCAGAGCAACATCGGCAAGAGCTTGCTGTCGAAGAAGCGCATAAATCAGATATCTCCGGCGACGACACAGATGACTCGCCAGATCAGTCAGCGTCCGGTGTCAACGTCCAGTCTGGCGAGAATGAATTCGCGGAGCTTAGCCTTCAACTATCGAAAATCAGCAATGCTCAGCGACCATCCGCGCCGTCACTCACCAGGAGATTTTCGAGACGGAGTAATGTAGATGTCGAAAAAGCTAGCTCTCCTGAGGAGGAGCAAGCTGAGCCCTTTGATCTGGAGGACTATTTGCGCAACACCAAGCAGATGGAGGACGAAGCAGGCATCAAATCAAAGAAAATTGGCGTCTTATGGGACGGTTTGACCGTCAAAGGCTATGGTGGATTCCGCATCTTCGCGCCTACCTTTCCGAACGCCTTTGTCAATTTCTTTAATGTATATTCAACTGTAAAGGGTTGGCTTGGCTTGAAGAGCCACGGCTCTACCGTCAACATTCTCAAAGACTTCCGCGGTCTTGCAAAGCCTGGCGAGATGGTCCTTGTCCTCGGAAGACCTGGATCTGGTTGTACTACATTTCTCAAGGTCATCTCCAACCAGCGTTTCGGATACACAGCTGTCGACGGGGAAGTGTCTTACGGTCCTTTCGATGCACGCACCTTTTCAAATCGCTATCGGGGTGAGAGTGTTTATTGCTCAGAAGATGAGGACCACTTAGCCAGCCTTTCTGTTGGACAGACTCTGAATTTTGCATTGGAGACCAAAACCCCAGGCAAGCGACCTGCAGGGCTCTCTCCTGGGGAATTTCGCGAACGAGTTGTTAATATGCTTCTTCGCATGTTCAACATAGAACACACTAAGAACACTGTCGTTGGTGGGCTCCACATCCGAGGCATTTCTGGTGGTGAGAGGAAGCGTGTCTCGATTGCAGAGACCATGATTACTGGCGCCGCTGTCTACTCTTATGACAATTCTACAAGAGGCCTGGATTCTTCCACTGCTTTGGACTATGCTAAATCATTGCGATTACTCACGAATGTCTACCATACCACGACTTTTGTCTCACTCTACCAAGCCTCGGACAGCATATATGCTCAATTTGACAAGGTAATGGTCATAGATGAAGGAAGGCAGGTGTTTTTCGGGCCAACGACAGAAGCCCGCGCGTATTTCGAGAATCTCGGTTTCATGGCCAAGCCCAGGCAGACAACGCCCGACTACTTGACGGGCTGCACGGATCCCTTTGAGCGAGAGTATGCGGATGGCCGCGATGAGACAAATGTTCCAAGCACTCCAGATGAGCTCGTCGAAGCTTATGACAAATCTACCTTCGCGAAGCAAATCGATTCCCAGATGGCCGTCTGGCGTGAGCAAGTCAAAGAAGAAAAGCAGATCTACGAGGACTTCCTTACCGCAGTCAAGGATTCTAAGCGGAGTGCACGATATAAGGGAGTCTACTCCATTCCCTTTCATCTACAGATATGGGCTCTCATGAAACGGCAATTCATTCTCAAATGGCAAGATACATTCTCATTGGTCGTCGGATGGTTCACTTCCATCGTCATTGCACTTGTTCTCGGTACCGTCTGGCTAAAGCTACCTAAAACGTCCGCCGGTGCGTTCACTCGTGGTGGTCTGCTGTTCATATCTCTTTTATTCAACGCTTTTCAAGCCTTCAGTGAGCTAGGGACGACAATGCTGAATCGACCCATCGTCAACAAGCATCAGTCCTATGCATTCTACCGTCCATCAGCCTTGTGGATTGGCCAAATTTTCGTGGATGTTGCCTTCTCGTCGCTGAAAATTCTTGTCTTCAGTATCATTGTTTACTTCATGTGCGGCTTGGTCCTGGATGTTGGCGCGTTTTTCACTTTCGTGCTGGTCATCATTGTTGGCTATATGGGCATGACTTTGTTCTTTAGAACAATTGGTTGTCTTTGTCCAGACTTTGACTATGCCATTAAAATTGCTGCCACCATTATCACCTTTTTGGTACTAACAGCCGGCTATTTGATTCAGTGGAAACAAGGCCAAGTTTGGCTTAGATGGATGTACTATATCAACTTCATGGGCTTGGGATTCTCTGCGCTAATGGAGAATGAGTTTGGCAGACTCAATCTCACGTGCACTGCCGAATCGCTGATTCCTTCGGGATCAGGCTACAATAACATCGATCATCAGGTTTGCACACTTGCGGGAAGTACAGCAGGAACGCCGATCGTGCCTGGTACGGCGTACTTGTCGCAAGCATTCAACTATGAAAAAGACCAACTGTGGCGCAATTTCGGGATCATGGTAGCCCTCATCCTGCTGTTCCTCGCAACAAACGTCGCCCTAGGAGAATATGTCAAATGGGGCGCAGGAGGACGTACCATTACCCTCTTCACAAAGGAAAACGAAGAGACGAAGAAGCTCAACGAGGATTTAATGGAAAAGCGCGAGAGGCGCAAGACCAGCAGGGTGCAGAGAACCACTACAATGGTGCAGATCGAGTCGAAGGCCGTCCTTACTTGGGAAAACCTCTGCTACGATGTTCCGGTGTCTGGCGGGCAGAAGCGGCTCCTGAACGACGTGTTCGGCTATGTCAAGCCCGGAGAACTTACTGCCTTGATGGGAGCCTCCGGTGCGGGCAAAACCACACTTCTCGATGTGCTAGCTGCAAGGAAGAATATCGGCGTCATCTCTGGGGATGTTCTTATTGACGGTCTCAAACCTGGTACCGGCTTCCAGCGTGGAACTGCATATGCCGAGCAACTCGACCAGCATGAGTCTACTCAGACAGTTCGAGAAGCACTGCGCTTCTCTGCCAATCTTCGACAGCCTTATCATGTCCCACAAGCCGAGAAGTATGCCTATGTCGAGGAAATTATTTCTCTACTTGAGATGGAAGAGATTGCAGATGCCATTATTGGTTTCCCTTCGTCTGGACTCGCGGTGGAACAGCGTAAGCGAGTCACTATCGGTGTTGAACTTGCTGCCAAGCCAGAACTTTTACTATTCTTGGACGAGCCTACTTCTGGTCTCGACTCTCAGTCCGCGTTTAACGTCGTCCGTTTCCTACGCAAGCTTGCTGCCGCAGGTCAGGCCATCTTGTGTACGATTCATCAGCCCAACAGTGGCGTTTTTGAGAACTTCGATCGCCTGCTTCTCCTCAAAAGTGGCGGGAATACCGTTTACTTTGGCAAGATTGGCAAAGATGCAGCTCATCTTCGTTCCTACTTCGTTAAACATGGTGCCCAATGCCCTCCTGATGCCAACCCGGCTGAGTGGATGCTTGACGCTATAGGAGCAGGCCAGGCGCCGCGCGTGGGTGATCGTGATTGGGGTGACATCTGGCGAGACAGTGATGAATTGAAGGCGGTGCAAGACGAGATTGTTCGCCTGAAAGCAACACGAATCAATGAAGCAGTTAAAATCGAGGAGCGAGAGTACGCCACTCCTTTATGGTACCAAATCAGAATTGTGAATTGGAGGACTCAACTTGCTTTCTGGCGATCGCCCAATTATGGCTTTACACGACTATACAACCACGTCATTGTTGCATTGCTGGCAGGACTTGTCTACTTGCAGCTCGACGATTCACGCACCTCGCTCCAAGATCGCGTCTTTGTCATATTTCAGGTCACTGTCCTCCCAGCACTAATTCTTGCGCAAGTGGAGCCGAAGTACGACATGTCTCGATTGATCTACTATCGGGAAGCTGCATCCAAGTCTTATAAGCAAATCGCCTTTTCCATCAGCATGGTCTTGGCCGAAGCTCCATACTCCATCCTCTGCGCGGTTGCGTTCTTCCTCCCACTCAATTACCTTCCAGGCTTCCAGACAGCTCCTTCAAGAGCCGGTTATCAATTCCTTATGATTCTGACCACCGAGTTCATTGCAGTCACTCTAGGGCAAATGATAGCTGCATTGACCCCCTCGACCTTCATTGCTATCTTAGTGAATCCTTTCGTCATCATTATCTTTGCGCTGTTCTGCGGTGTCACGATCGCGAAACCACAGATTCCTGGATTCTGGCGCGCTTGGTTGTACCAACTTGATCCGTGGACGCGGCTCATTGGCGGTATGCTGGTCACCGAGCTGCATGGTCGCCCTGTCGTATGTACTGACGGCGAGCTTAATCGCTTTTCTGCCCCGACAGGGCAATCTTGTGGCGAGTACATGGAACCCTTCTTCGGTCGCGGTGGTCCAGGCTACCTCGTCGACAATGCCACTAACGCCTGTGCCTACTGCGCCTATAAGATTGGGGATCAGTTCTACGAGCCATTCGACTTTTCATTTGACAAGAGGTGGAGAGATTGGGGCATCTTATTGGCATTCATCGGAAGCAACCTGATCATTCTATTTGTTGGAGTAAGTCTTTGAAAATGCTTTAATTGTTACATCAAATATACTAACCATCTACAGAGCCGGTTCCTCAACTACAACCGCCGCTAAGCATATTTTGCATGCAGATAGTGACCGCATTAACGATGATTTATACCTGACCATTGTTTCGATTTCAAAAGTTGTTTATCACGAATTTCCATAATACGAAGCTCAACTCTTCATGATTTGGAGTTGAGTACCCTACTCAGATTGTTCCTGGTACGAGTCCGAAGAACGGGTCGGGCTGAACAAGATTCTGGATATATAGATCTTATTCTTCATAGATTCTTTTATGCAAATTGTCAAAGATGTAATTTATCAGGAGTCTTTCAGCATTGATATTTCAGTTTGGTGTTTGTTTTGCTAGCGTCTGATGTTATCAATACTAACTTAGCTGCTTCTGTGGAGTTGTACTTGTATGGGTGTCGCGTCCCCCACTTGCGTTTCCTCGAGCTTGTCGGTACGTACCTGGCCTTCCATGAGCGCATTTCAAGCAACTTGCACCACACTTGATAATCGCAACACCACATTTACGTCGCAAAAAAAGACCTCTCATCGTATAAAAGCGACATCGACTATCAGAAATACGATGACGGAAAAAATAATGGCAAAAAAGGATTCGGGCCTCACCCGGGCTTGAACCGGGGACCTCTCGCAATTCTGGCAAGGTTACCCAAAGCGAGAATCATACCACTAGACCATAAGGCCGAGATCGGAAATGTTGGCTGGTCTATAAAATATATATACAGCTGATCTCTGGATTGTTGAATAAATCTGTCAAAGCAGTCGAATATTACGCTCCGATCTGCTTACCGGCGCCGCAACCTCTGATCTTTTGATCTTTTAATCTCTCTATTGTTTTGTCCTACTTATCCGCATAACAGGGCATGGACAACCCACACGCGCTTAAAAATAATCGCGTAGTCAAGCACGCGCGGGAACCAGAAAAGAATACTCGGCAAAGCGCGTTCGCATTTTCTTAGGCGTCCCGTGATGCGTGACCCTACTGCGGGCAACTCGACTCTACGCCGTTTGCCGTAAGCTTGGACCAGCAGCCAATCACCGTAGCATACAAACAAAGCGCGCCCAGCGTCATCAACATCGCCGTCATTACGCTTTCGATCGAGCCCACCTCATACTCTCGCCGCTTTCTCGCAGTTTCAATCCTGGATATACGACACGCTTGGGTCTGGTCTACATCTTGACGACACTGGATTGGATGTCGAATCACCACAACATCCTCGCATCTATGGCTGTCAAGTGATTCGCAACTACAATGGCCAGAGACTGAGAAGCCACACCTCACACCACCCCTCCGGTCTCTCTGACAGACGACCATACGAGACATGTCCTCTGGTAGGAACAATGGGACACCGCAGGGTCGCATCACACGAGCTACGGCAGCTGCAGCACGCAATACACCTTCACCGCTGACCCCCCGACTGGCGGCGAATGCCAATAATAAGAGAGAACCTTCGCCCAGGCGGCCCTTTGTGAAGTCGACAAGCACATCGAGAAGTACCTCTCCGGAAAAGGCCGCTGTGACGACTGTCCGGAATCTCAGCAATGATAGCACCACTACTCCGAGGCCGCCATTGCGAGCGAAGATAAAACCAGGTAGTGCTACATCTACACCGAGCACTAGCACACCCGGAAGTGTAAGAGGCGGAAACGCATTTCCATCACCTCGAGTGGCGGGATTTCATACACCCACAGAAAAGGATGGGGGCCGCAATACACCAAGGATTGCGACTTCGGTATTGGGCATACAGCAGAGCAGAGACGGCACTGCCCTATCTCCTTTGGCACAGGAACCAATCGTAGCATCTTTTCACAACGGTGTGGATGATCCATCAATCAAAAACCCGAACTCTATGTTCTTCCACGCAGATGAGGCGCGCTTGAAAGAAAAGGCCTCTGTAACTGCTGCAGCGCCGAAGAGGAACAACACGGCATTCTTCTATGCTAATGGACAACGAGAGCAACCGCCTCAGCCGCGGCTCATGAGGCCAACCTCGCCGGCCATGTCCATGTTCATGGAAAAGAGAGGGGCAGCTCCGCTAGCAGTGCGGGCAGGTACCTCGGAACTTGGGGTCAGCACTCGCCCTACCGTCACTTCACCCACCTTGAGCGCAATCTCGTCCGCGAGATCGCCTTTCATGGCAAGCCCCGTGTCGCTGAGTCCTCCTGTCCTCTCGCCCCCCATCCAGAAGATCGACTATCTCAACACACCTCACGCAACACTAAATTATTCCAAATTGAGATCGCAGCAAGTATCGTTCGAGTACCAGTCTCCACAAACTCCAACTTCGACCGGATTGGGAGTGACAATGAACGCCGCCACTGAGCAACCCAGCGTGCACTCGCCCAGCAGGCATATCAAAAGCTCTAGCATATGTGCTCTGCCAACGGAAAGCCCAAATGCAACTAGAAAGCGGTCCGCTACATGGGCGGAAGTCCAGAGTCCTGCGAGCGCAAAACAAAGTGCTATGAATGCGACAGAACGATCGCAGCCTCCATCACCTACAGTTCAGCGAGGTTTCATTAGCCCAGGGTTCGCGTCACCCATTACTGGCGATGGCCTACAGAGCCCCACGAAGGAATTGGTAGAGTTTGCTGCAGACGCGAGGCGGGAGCGAAAAGTGCTGGATCTGGAGATTTCGAATTCTTCGTTGTTGGCAATCAATCGATCGCTAGAACGAGAGATCAAGAAACACAAGGCTGAACTCAAACGCTACAGACGACTCAGCAGGGCTGGAAGGTTCTCCATGGCCACGGACAGCATAGCCAACGGGGATTACGACGAAGGAGATGGACTTCCGCATGTAGAAGGAGCTTTTGAAGGGCGGCCGTCAAGTCCTTTTCAAGAGGAAGTTTCGGACTTGGAGTCGTCTAATGAAGAGTCCTCGGAGGATGGCGGAGCTCCTTCTCCAGGAGCGGACACGACCAAAGAAGAGCGGCAAAGAGCAAAAGATGAAGCTCAATTGCGAGCGGATCTCCGCAAGCATCGAGAGCTCCTCCTGGACACGGCACGCATGAACAGATCGCTGCAGCGGTGCTTAACGTGGACGGAAGATCTGATCAAAGACGGCAAGAAGGCGCTCGATCATCGCATACCGTCCGAGGAAATCAGACTGGGTGGACGGGTACTTAATGCCGACGAATCGGAGGACGAGCGGGTGGAAGACGAAACGAGCGTGCTCGATCACAGTACGGACTTTAGTCCTGAGGCCGACCACCGGGATGACGTTGCGCACGACCTCGAAGGAATCGAAGCATTTATGGGAATGGGAGCATGGCAGATCCCCAAGCCACAGCGTTTGAGCACAGAGAGCGAGACGACAAACCGCGATAGCGGCGTGGACATGGGAAGGCAACAACAGCCGCAGCACAGGCCAGTCTTGATGCGAGCTGGTTAAGATGGATCGACGATTTCTTTTATGGGCATTGGATTGCACAGCGGGTTGGACATTGCGGTCTCTTAGACATGGGTGGGCATTGGCGTTTAGAAAATGAACTCGGGCTCGTCTCTGCGGTCGCTTGTTGATACCCAAACTCTTTCTTTTTCGATTTCCATATGTCGATAGATACAATACACAAGCTACACTACCGAAGCTAAGTCTCTGCCTTGAGTGTACCGTGCAAACGGTATCAGCAGCGGCTCGGATAGCGGTCTGCCGAAATGCGCCACGGTATCATTGCCACGGTTCGGACGAGGTGCGGCGGCGAGAGGCGATGGCGAGAATGGGTGTCATATTGTGGTTTGAGTCTGGTTCTGCTTGTCCTTGGCCATGTGTTCCTCTGTTCCTACAAATCCTTCCACCTCCTTTTTTTTCCAACCAGCGCAGCCCTCTCGGCCGATCGTCAGGGGCCCGCGAGCTAAGCATTCTTCTGGCGGTAATCCGGCTCCAACGCCTCCTTCCGAGAAAGACAGAGAGGACTCTGCATGCGGATTGGGTGTCGCCGTTGGCCAAACGGTTCGGGGTAGGCATGGCAAGGTGCGAGGATGCTTTTGCCCTGGCACCCACTCGGCGACGATGCGTGCATGGTGGCGCATTCAAGGTGAGTTCGGGGTGGTGCGAGACACAGTAATCAACTAATTGATGTGGGTTAGCAGGTCGACACGAGACCCGAACCCGACCGAATGGTAATAGTGATCGACTTCTGGTCTCTATTGTGGGTCTCGAAGATGTTGATCATCAGCCCTTCGACCCACGCGAGCGAACAGAGTCGTCGAAAGCGCCCCCCCGGTTCCACCTTCTCATCAAGATGCTTCCTCCATATCGAACCCGTCTCAGACCTGCGGAGGGCGCACCGCCGTTCTGAACCAAACGTTGCGACAACCACGTTTCCACCCGCCAACCAGCTCGCTCCCAGTACCCCGGGTGATGGATTGGCCTGAGTGAAACCGCGCGCCCGTGGGTTAGTCCCAAAAGCGGAATGCGGGCATGGCAAGACCTCTGTGCCTAAGTTACCGCTCTTTCTGCTCCCTGATCCTGGGGGATGCAAACGGTGGGGGAGTGCCCCCAGAACATGTGGGAGAGGGTGTGTTGCTGGGATAGAACTTTTTGCCCTTTGCTGGGCAAACGTTCAAAAGTACGGGCCTCTGCTGTCCCGCGGAGCATCCGTCGTTCGTCCAGACCTACGAGGCAAGTCCTTCTGATCGTATCGGCACTCTTCGACTGCGAGGCTTCATTGGACAGCAGGGCTGCAATGGTGGCAACTGTGGCCGGCGCTTATGGCGCTGCCAACCAGGACCCGGCGATCGGGGCGTGGATTGATCGCGTGAGGGATGGCGCTATCGCCATGTATGTCGTGTGCACTTTTATGTTTGGCATGCGCATGTGGGCCAGGACAAAGGTGCTGCGGCAGTTTGGTATGGACGACTTGGCTATGCTGATAGCCTGGGTGAGTAGTCAATCGTTCTTCAGACCGACAAGGACTATTGACTGATCTCTTCGACAGGCGCTATTCACCTGCCTGGTATCTTTGACACTGGTCGAAACCGCACACGAGAAGCAGTACTTCTACGGCCGCGACTTTACCATCAGCGAATCCAGCCTCGTGCATCTCGCCCAATGGTCCAACGCAGTCTACACAGCAAACCTCGTGGCAGACAAATGCTCCTTCGGCTTCTTCCTCCTCCGCACCACAAACCCCAACAACGCCTGGCAACGCATCACCACGATCGCAGCATGTTCCCTGATCGGCCTCTTCGGCATAGCCTACTTCGGCCTGAGCTTCACCTGCGCCGTGACCTTCGACTCCCTCCTCACAGGCCAATGCAACCTCAACTCCGCCTACAAATGGACATCAGCAGCCTGGTCCGCCACCGCGATCGCAACAGACCTAGCCTTCGGCCTGGTCTTCGTCTACCTAATCGTAGTCTGCAACCTCACCCGCCGCGCCCGCGTCCTCACCGTGCTCATCGTAGCCATCGGCTCCCTCTCCGGCCTCTCGTCGCTAGTCCGCATCCTGGCCATCGCAGCCCCGGCGCCGAACAGCTTTGTCACGGACCCGAACGTCCGCCGTCTCGCGGTGCGCTTCTGGTCCGTCATGGAAGTCGCGCTGTGTCTCGCCGCGCCCTGCGTCGGCGCCATCCAGAGTTTTCTCAGGCCGTACATGGACCACCCCAATCCCCTGGGTTATCAGGGCAACTACGAGAGGAGCGGAGCGGCGGTGCTGCGCAAGGATACGGGGCAGACGTC